TTTATTTAAGAGCATATATTAGACTGCTACAGATAAGTTCACGTATTATGGTGAAAAAAAGTTACTGATGCATTTTCTGAAACCTGTTAGGTGATAAGAGTTTAGGGGGAGGAATGAGTGCTGTAGATGTTCCCTTTCCTTTTTCCAGAGCAGAGCTGTTCTTATGAAAGTATTTTATCTGTCCGAAATGTGGCTTCCATGATAGGCCTAATAAGAAGTGAGTGGACTACAGAATCAGACCGATAGCCCATTACATTATTTTACATGAACGCTATGGACAGTGTGAGCAATGGTGCCCATAAGGCTCATAATATATCAAACTACAAGACAACTGAGGGATTCTTTCAGTGATGAGTCTCTTGAGAAATTCAATTCCTCAACCTCAAAGGAAATACATTACATTATAGACATAATCAGCTGCAGACTTATTTGAGTTTATGCCCACTGATTTCAATGAGCTTAAGTACTTTCAACTCTCACTGGACTGTAGCCTACAAATAGAGCTACAAGAAATAATTATTTCAATTGTTAGATTAATTGGTAGATTGACTTTACTTGATTGATTAGTAGGCTAATTTTTATCTTTAGGGTTTAAAGGTAAAATGTACTTGTTTATTTGATGTAGGGACTTCTTTCATTTTATCGTTACACTGAACTAAAAGGGATCTGCCTATTCAATAACAGGAAGTAGTTTTGGTTCATAGTAAGCTGAGCTATTTCATAATTCATACAAAACCACTAAAATGCATGTATTGGGGTTTTGGTAATATACAAATATATTTACAATTAATTGTTTTAAAAGGTAGGTTATTGATAAAATTAATTATTAGCAGCTGATTCACTCTCAGAACATTATATAAATAGGAATGGTAGGGATATGTCAGTCCAAGCCTTTGGCCATGCCTGTCATGACTCATTTTTATCCCACAAACCTATGACCTCCCCTTTGGACTCCTCTCCAAGTCTGGAAAAGAGCTGGCTGAAGTTCTTCCTGAATTCTAGGGCATACATGCAGATTGCATTCACCTGCCATACCATATATTTCCCCCATCTGTGTCCTTGATCCTTTAGCCTCATTCACTTCCTTAAACCATCTCCCCCGGGGGACAAGGGTATGCTTCCAGAAAACAGGCATGCCGGCATTTGAAGTGTGTGATTGTCTTTGGCCAGTTTTGCTTGGCAGCATTTAGAGCTAATATTTCTGCATAGTATATACAGGCGCTTGTGAAATGCCACTTCTGTAAGGAAAATAACATCACCTTGCTTGTTGCAACTTTCTGGTAAAAGAGGATGCATGCAAACCATAGATTCAAAGCATACACACCCCTCCAAGAATCCTGGAAACTAATTTGTTAAGGGTCCTGGGAATTGTAGCTCTTTGAAGGGTAAACTAAAGTTCCCAAGATTCTTGGAAGGGGGAGAGTGCCCTGAATGTATGGTGTGTATGCAACCAGAGTATTCTTTTCTAAGCAAAACATTCACACAATGCTGTTAGAAGCTATCAGAGGCAAAAAGTCTTCCTTTAGGAAATGGAAGTGTTGTCCAAATTAGAGCAAAAGGAACACATACTCTGGAAAATAAAAACAGATGCAAGCAGTCAACAAAGGATGATAAAAAAGAGCACGTTGCTAAATGCATAGTGACCAATAAATAAATAAAATAATAGCAGGAGACTGGCTAGGGAGGCAGATGAATCTTTATATGATGACAGATTAACATCTCTTCTGGGAAAACTGGTGGGAAGTGTTGTAAAATATAGAATTGCCAAGCATATGGAAGAACAAGTCTTGCTGAAGCAAAAGCGGTATGACTTCCCTGTCTCACTGACCTGTTAAGAGTTCTTTGAGAGTGTCACCAAGCACATAGATAAAGGTGATCCAGCTGACATTGTGTACTTGGCTTTGAAAAAAACTTTTGACAAAGTACCTCACCAAAGACTCCTAAGTAAACACAGCAGTCATGGGAAAAGAGAAGCAGTACCCTTGTGCATGAGTAATTGTTCCTCACAATGGAGGGATGTAGACAGTGGAGCCCCCAAGAATTAGCATTGGGACCTGTACTTTTTCACTTGTACATAAATTAACAAGGGGCAATGGGTGAGCAGTGTGGTAGCCAAGTTTGCTGATGATACCAAATTGTTTAGGGTGGTTAAAAAAAGGGACTGTGAAAAGCTCCAAAAGCATCTCTCCAAACTGAGTGAATGGGCAGTAAAATGGGAAATACAATTTGATGTAAACAAGTGTCAAGTAATGCACTGACCAGAAATGTAAACCTAGTGTGTGACAGCTGTTAAAAGGGATAATTCTGTGCTATGGATCACTAAGAAAAGAATTGAAAATAAAAGTGTCAATATAGTAGTGCCATTATAGAAATCTATGGTGCAACCACCCTTGGAATGCTTTGTACAGTTATTGCTGCCTCACCTAAAAAAGGAAACTGTAGATCTGGAAGACGTTAAGAAAAAGGCAACCCAAATGATTTGGGGATGAAGGAACCGCCCCTATGAGGAAAAGTTACAACATCTGGGGCTTCTTAGTTTAGAGGAAAGGTAAATAAGAGTAGACATGAAAGAGGAGCATACAATTATGCATTGTTGTGGAGAAAGAAGAAGAGGAGGAGAAGGAGGAGTTTGGATTTGATATCCCACTTTAGCACTACCCTAAGGAGTCTTAAAGCAGCCTTCCTCCCCCACAATAAATACTCTGTGAGGTGAGTGAGGCTGAGAGACTAGCCCAAGGTCTGAGAAAAGTGTCACCCAAGTGACTAGCCCAAGGTCACCCAGCAGCTGCATGTGGAGGAGCGGGGAATCAAACCCGGTTCACCAGATTACGAGTCCACTGCTTTTAACCACTACACCACACTGGCTCTCAGAAAGTGGATAGTTTCTCCCATAACACCAGAACCCAGGAACTTCCAGTGAAGCTGGATCTCGAAAGATTCAGCACAGGTAAAACAATGGCCTAATGACATAGTTAAGCTATGGAATTCTCTCTTACAAGATGTAGTGGTAGCCACCAATTTGGACAGTTTTAAAGGGGGATTAGACAAATTCTTGGAGGAGAAAGCGAGCAGACGCTACTGCCCAAAACACCTTTGTTCTGCCTCTACTGTCAGAGGCAACAAACCTCTGAATACTACTAGTTGCTGGGAATAAAAAAAATGGGAGAGTGCTGTGTTGCTTAGGTCCTTGTTGGCTTCCCATAGACACCTGATTGCCCATTGCAAGAACACAATGCTGGACTAGAAGGGCCATTGGCTTAATCCAGCAGGCTCTTCTTATGTTCTTAACCTTTAGAATCTGAATACTTTGAAAAGAGAAATCATTCAAAAGGGTGGAAGGCTTACATCATAGGAATTTTAAAAAATGTTTTGAAATGTAATATCAGCAACATATCAACTTAATATCGACAGTACTAAATGCATACTGAAAGATTTTCTGAGGAGATGTATATAGGACTTCAAAAGCGTAACCCAGTTTAATAATGGGTTACTTCACTTTGTAAACCCTACTGGGAGGCATTATAAGATTGTAGTGCTTGTTCAGAAACTTCCACGAAACAGAGTGGAATGGCTATTTGTCAGGTTGAAACTGGTAAATTAAGTGGGTTAATACAAACAGATTAAAAGTGAAAATAAAATATTTTGAGCTAACTGTGGAAAAGTTTGAATGGACAATCAAATTAATGACAAAACTACCAGGCAATGAGGGGACGCGGGTGGCGCTGTGGGTAAAACCTCAGTGCCTAGGACTTGCCAATCGTATGGTCAGCGGTTCGAATCCCCGCGGCGGGGTGAGCTCCCATCTTTTGGTCCCAGCTCCTGCCCACCTAGCAGTTCAAAAGCACCCCTAAGTGCAAGTAGATAAATAGGTACCGCTTTATAGCAGGAAGGTAAACGGCATTTCCGTGTGCTGCACTGGTGCTGGCTCACCAGAGCAGCTTCGTCACGCTGGCCACATGACCTGGAAGTGTCTCCGGACAGCACTGGCCCCCGGCCTCTTAAGTGAGATGGGCGCACAACCCTAGAGTCGGACACGACTGGCCCGTACGGGCAGGGGTACCTTTACCTTTTACCAGGCAATGATGACCGAAAGTTATTTTGAATAATACTGGATCAGTAATGTAATTTAGCTTTTCAATGGGACATATTTAGCTACAGAAAACCCTTGTCTATATAAATGACAGCTTTCTATTTTCTGGAAGAAATCAGTACAGGATTGGAACACGCTCAACCCTACCGAACTGAAAATCTGCAGACTAGCTAATGTTAGTGTAATTAAGGTACAGCATTTGAAAGGGCATGACATTTCAAAGAATTTTTGTTGTATGTAAACACATGCATCTCAAAACACACTCAAATAATACTTATGCATGATTAAGAACATAAGAACAGAGCTGCTGGAACAGAGCCTATCTGGCCTAGCTTCTGGATCACAGTGGTTAACCAAATGTCTATGGAATATAAGCAGAACAGGAACACATTAGCTCTCTACTGCTCATGAACCCCAGCAACTCGTTATTATAAGTATTTATGGAAAATAAAATGCATCAGTAGAAATGTTTGCCAACCGCTACTTATTAGTCGGCTTGATTAGTCGGGCTTGGGTGGGGTCAGGTGAGGGGCAGGTGCAAAGGCTTTAGAGTCTGAATGGGCTAGGTGGGAAAACAAGCACTCCGTTTGGCACTAACACAATAGGGGTTTTCCCCCAATATAATGTTGTTGTAAAGTCTGAACTCACTTGTTTCACTTCACCTTTTCTGTTGTGGTTTTCTTTATGCCCCCTTCCTCTTTTTAAAATTGCACATTTACTACAGTGGTACCTCGGATTACAAACACCTCAGGTTACAAACACTTTGGGTTACAGATTCTGCTAACCCAGAAGCAGTACCTCGGGTTAAGAACTTTACCTCAGGATGAGAACAGAAATTGTGCGGCAGCAGGAGGCCCCATTAGCTAAAGTGGTACTTCAGGTTAAGAACGGTTCCAGGTTAAGAACGGACCTCCAGAATGAATTAAGTTTGTAACCAGAGGTACCACTGTAAATATATATACAGTGGTACCTCGGATTAAGAACTTAATTCATTCTGGAGGTCCATTCTTAACCCGCGTACCACTTGGGAGAAGCTCCTCCCAAGGCATTCCTCATCTGGACACCCATAGCAAAAATGCTATTGAAAAAGCTGTTGCAAAGAGTCTCACCTCATAAGTAGACCAGCAGACAAGTCTTAACTTGCTGCGCACCGAGAGTAAAAATGTCAAATGTGACCAGCCTCCTACCTGGCGACTTTGGTGGCTGCAACCTGGTCAAACCCACAAGAGCCTTGCACACTACCAACTTTGCACAAGGAACTCTAGAATAAAGGGATTTACAGAAAAATGAAATGGCAGAAGACTGAATTCTGATGGACTTCACAGCACGACCCATATACTGCAGGTGAGCCAAATATTGCAACACCTGATTTGTGGGTGGCGACACTGTACTGTCGATTGTCCAATGCTGTGCTCTGAAAGCTAAAAAGTCCATCCATGCCTTCTTATAAGACCTCAATGTGGAAGGAGAAACAGAAGCTACTACTCCCTGAAGGACTAGCTGCTGCCAAGGTTCCAAAGCTGAACTGGGGAATATTCCCGAAGCTTCTGGGCATCCAGAGCCAGGGATCTGAAGCGCTCCATCTGAAAACGGGATGGGGCATCAGCAATATCATTATTAGCGCCAGCAATAAAACGGGCAGAAAACACAATATTAAACCTGAGGCACCGCAGCACAAACATGCGCAATAGGGCAGAGACTCTGCTGGAGCTTGATGACTGCCTTGCCAAAACGCTCACCACGGCCTGATTATTGGACCAGAAACAGACCCGCCAGTCCTTGAACTCCATGGTCCAGATGTGCACTGCTACAACAATGGGGGAAAACTCAATAAACGTTAAATCACAGGTAATGGCTGTACCCTGCCAGTGCTCAGGCCACCACTGAGCGCACCAACGGCCATGGAAATAAAGCCCCAAACCCAAGGATCCAGCAGCTTCTGAATGGATCTGGAAATCAAATTGCAAATTCAAAGTATCCTGCCACAAGGACACACCATTGAACTCCCTCAGGAATTCAAGCCACATCTTGAGGTCTTCTCTGACCTTACTGGGTGCATACCCGATGATGGGGTGACCACAGGCCTGCAGAGAGTCTTGTTAAGGTGCGTAAAAAGGGTGACCAGGGGCAACCACACTGCATGCAAAATTGAAATGGCCCAACAAGGACTGAATCTGCCTCAAGGTAACCTTTTCCTTGGCAAAAATTCCATAATGATGTCACACAGGGCCACCAGTTTTCCTTCAGGCAAAGAGGAAGTTTGTGCCACAGTATCCAAATGGATTCTAAGATAAGACAACCTTCAGTTTTATCAGCCGCCAAGGGAACATCCAACTCCCTAGTTAGGTCGTTAAATGCATGCAGTAATAGCAAGCATTTGTCAGAATTGGCTGCAGAACTTAGTAAAATGTCATCGAGGTAATGGGTCACGCCCCTTAAACCTGTCTTGGTATGCAAGGCCCAGTCCAAAAATGTTCTGAAGGCTTCAAAAGCTGCAGAAGATATAGAGCAGCCCATCGGCATGGCTTTATTCACATAATAAGCTCCATCCAACTGGAAGCCAAGCGACTTAAAATCGTGGATGAACGGAAAGTAAGCGGAAAGCAGATTCCACATCACACTTTGCCAAAAGTGCACCCTTCCCAAAGCTCCCGATCAACTTGACCGCTTGGTCAAAGGTGGCGTCCTTGACAGAACACAACCCAGGAGGGATAGCATCATTTACTGATGAACGCTGTGGGCAAGATAAATTGTGAATTAAGCGAAATTCCCCAGGGGCCTTTTTAGGCACCACACCCAAAGGGGAAAGGTGCAAATCCGGGTAAGGAAGACACTCAAATGGCCCAGCCATCCTTCCCAATGCTAATTCCTTCCTGATCCTTTTCCTGGCTATATCAGGCATCTATCTCACTGATTTTTGATTTTCAACTTTTGTGGCCTTGGGCGGGAACACCACTGGAATACGAAAGCCCTCTGAAAATCCCAGCCACAAATATGAAGCAGCTACCAAATCGGGGTAGATGCGCAGCCACGCCCTCAAGGCAGGAAACTTAATGGGAGTGCGAGCTAGGATCAATAAGCCATCATGTAACATCCCAGGCTGCTTGAGGAGAGGCTCCTTTCTGCTCCTGTGTAAGCTGATGAACCACAGGAGGTGGCACAGAACGCAGTGTCTGAGAGGGACCTCTAATGACCCTCTTAGAAGGGAAAGCAGGACTGGGGTTACTTTTAATAGGCATCACGATCCTTTCTTCTTGCATAGGAGTACTAATTACAATCACACAAAAGGTCCCAGGCCTTGAAATGGCCCTCCCACCTCAACAAGATGGCGCTCCTGCCAAGGCAAAATGGTGCTCCTGCCAAAAACTAGTCAGGAACTAACCTATCCCTGTGACCTAAAATGGCGGCCGGAATGAAACGGGGTTTTTCCCCCACCCTTAACAAATACCTGACAAAGCTAAAACAAAAGGGGCACAATCAAGGCAAGGAGAGGGAACTCTCACTGCAATGAAACCAATAAAGGACCTAACAAGCACTAATAGAGCGACAATTACAATTGCCCAAAGTCACGTATTAAGCACAAGGCTGCTGCTGCAGCCGGAACACCAGCCGCTGCAATGTGAGGGAGCAATAAACAGGCAGCAGCAAGCTTCACAACAGGAGTGCCTGGGGGCTGGAGCCCCAGAGGGGGAAAGCCACACTAGAATAAAGGGAAAGGGAAGGGAAGGGATAGGGAAGGAGTAGCGGACAACTCAAAAAGGAACAATAAAAGGCAATAACAAAAAGGGGGAATAAAAAATGGAAAGAAATCACCAAGATGATTCGTCGAAGGTAAGTCTCTTGACTGCACAAAGTACACGCTGTTAGCTTGTTCTGAATGCATGAGCTGAAAAAGGAAGCTCTGGGTCACGTGTATGGGTATAAATAGGTCCCTCGATCCATTTGGACTGCCTCCCATTGGCCAGATTGAACCCAAAAAATCGGGTGTTGTGGCTATCCAATCTCACCCACCCACAACACAGGAGGTCAGTCTCCAGGTCTCACCTCAACATGTGCCCTCTTTTAGGGAGGACACAATTTCTCTAAATACACAACACATATTCAATTAGTAAAGAAGGATTAATAGAAATTTGGAAATTTGCTTTTTTCACTCTTTTTACTGCTTGACTTTTTAAATCAACTATTCAGTCACATTAATCTTTTACTTATATCTGTCCTGTTTGATTTTTAATCAAAGCAGAAGGAAAGGAAAACTGAACCAAGCTGTATTTCAATTCCAGGAAGTCAACTTGAAATAGTTGTGCAAATTTATCTTGTTGAACATTACTAAGAAATGGGACTTGCACATTAGGTGTGGCACGAAATTGCTCTGCAGAATTATACCATAATCTATTTCTTTTACTGTGTTCACAATAACAGCCAGTATCTGAGAAATTGTTATGAAAATAAATCATATCCCCATACTACATTCTAATGTGTATAGCGATGTTCAAAGGGTGTATAGTTAAGTGCCAAACAGAATTTACAGTCAATTTCACTGTTATCCCCAAACATTAAAAGGAAAATGAAATGTAATGGAGGTTGTTAAAAATAATTGCCCTGGAAACTGCGGAGTAAAAACATTATTTGACTTTTTTCATGTTGTCAGATAGGAGTGCTTTGCTGTTATATCTTAATTTGAATATTTCTTAATTTGTTTTGTATTTTTTTATTTGCATCCTGCTTTTCTTCCTAGGAGCTCAAACACACACACACAAGTCTGTGCAATACATTAACATAAGAGACCATGATATGACTAAACAAAAGCCTGTTCAGGCATGTGTTTTAATCTGGTTTTTAGTTTATTATTTTATGTTTTAAAAAGTTACTTTTTTTTTTAACTGATAATTATATTCTGTTACTCTTTTTGTAAATTGCTTTGAGGTTTTATTATAATCAAATGGTATATAAATTTTGTGAAATAAATAAATGCCCATGGTCACCACTGCTTGCCCTTGAGTGTATCACTTTCCCAGGCTTCAGTTAACCAAAGTCTTTCTAATCTAAACTGTCAGAAAATAGCTCAGTTATTTTCATTTTCAATCCCAATTCTAGGCCCTTTCAAAGCCTGCTGCACTTTTAAGAAATTGCAGTTTTCATGAATCCCCGCCTCTAATTTGCTGTGAACCCCCATGTTTTCCCCAAAGTATCCATGAGCCCTCATCCCTTCTCTAGCTCCTCAATTATGCTTGCCTTGATAAATACCGCTGGGATTTACTTTCAGGTATAGTGTCATTGAACAGAATGATGCGCTCTTGAATAGACACATAAAGACCTGCATCTTTTCCCTATTGAAAAATTATTACAAACAGCTTGCTCCTAGCTGCTTTAAATTAAGGCCTTTTCCTTTTGCCTACTAACACCCCTTTTGCCCTTTTTCTACATTTTGGGTTTTGTTTGCTGATTAACTTCCAGTCTCATAACGGGTTCTGATGAACTTCAAAGGCTCGATGACCTCTTTGTGTGTTATAGTTTATCTTCCTTTTTCTTTTTTGAGTGTGCGTGATTTCTAACAGATCGATGCCTCTTCCGTCCTGAGACTTCTCTCTCAATCTGGATAGTATTCAAAAAAACTCCAGAAAAGATCTTAAACATGTATTTTATTGAAGTTCACAAGGCACATGGACTCATATTCCAGTAGGCTGTCCTTTTGGCTCTGAAGAAATGTGGTTAGGAAGCTCTTTATAATAAAGTTCTCTATGGAGTCCTTGTAAGACCAAGTAAGTTTGCCTCTCTTCCTGAGCTTGCAAACTGAACTGGGTTGCAAAGGAGAGAGGGACGTTTCCCCCACTCTGGGCAGAGCCAATAGAAACTAAAATATTACTGTGCCTCCATTTCCAGCCTGTCTTGAGATCTGGAAAGGGAAAAGGCGCTACCTTTTCTTAAAGGGGCAACATTAATATTCCTTCTACCTAATACTAATACACTGATTTTCTATCAGTAATTAAATGAACCTTGTGAGGGCAGAACA